CCTTTGCAGCATGACTGATGGCTAAGGAGACAGAGCCCATTCCCCCTTCCACATATCTGCAAAATACAGTTCCAGAACATAATTGGCAAAGATATGTCTTTTCATAGTCAGCGTAATAATTTGTCTTCATGTTCTAAAGAAAGAAGACAAAGCTTAACACAAAGTAATCTCCCAGTATCCTTGCCAATCATTGGGTGTATCATGAATTTCAAAATTATTAGAGCCAAAATCTAGTATATTATGTTATGCCATTATACACAGATTATATTTAATGGATTCCTATCACTTCATAGTAACCTTGCTTAAGGATACCTACACAAAATATCTGGACACCATAGTGAAGAAATTAACCTATATGGGAGTGCCTATGACTCATTTAAGGTGGCCAAAATGCCAAACATATTGTCACTATCACAAGTGATGCACATGAATGTATTTAAAAGATTCCCACTAACATAATCTAATAGCATCCCGTAAATCAACAGCAAATAAATGGGCTTTGCAGAATCAATACTAAACAAAAATGTTACGGACTAGTATAACTTTAAATTTATGTTGAGAAATAATTTACAAGTCGGAGCTTCATTGCCAAGTCACATTCATTCATTCTTTTCATACATGAGCCAAAATCAAGGGGTCACATTCCTTTAGGACATACAGTCTGATTACTGGTCTGTGGGCTAATTTTAATGTTGACTTGTTAAGCACCTTTTTTTTTCTCTTTTTTTTTTTTGAAAGGTAAGGGGTAGGGGCATGGGCACACATTAAAAGATAATGTAGGTGTCAGACGAATTCAATGAGAATTGAAATCACTTGCTGAATCCATTCAAGTGATGGACCCACCAAACCTGGACTGCTCACCCGCCAATATGAACTAAAGATGGATTTATAGTGTATATCAACATGAAACAAGAGGTATACTAGCTTATAAAATTAGTCATTAAGCTTAGATGATAAGCTAATTGTATAAAACATCTTTAGGCTGGATAGGGCTTAAACGACAAAAGTGTTGGTCTAACACTCTAACAGAAGCTCTAAGTAAACATATCATTGGCATGGATGAATTTTAAGGACTAACTGAGTGTTGGATCCTACAAAAGATATTGTGTTTTGACAGGTCCTTCCCTCCTTTGTCAATCAGCTATATTTAACCCACATAGATGAACAAGTCCTAGGAAAAGGATAAGGCCAAGAGTAAGACAAAAGTGCCTAAATTTGGACAGCATATACTAGACATCACTTACAAATATTATGAATCTAAAAGTCCAAAGATGAAACTCTGCATGATTTTGGATACTTACGACCATACGCCACGACCTCCATCTGTTTCTCCCATCACATGATGTAGCAAAACATACCCACTACCTGGCGTGTTTACACTTGCCTATTAAAGTAAATGATAGCTCGCATTCAGTTTTATCTACACAACATAACATAATTAGATCTCGGGGATTCACACAGGATGCCTGAGGATACATATCATATCTCAAACACAATACTTACCATGCTCCCTATAACAGCATCTGTTGCTAGTGTTGCTTTAAGGACATCAGACTGCATATATCAGAGACATATAAATCAGGAAGTTTAAACAGTAAAATTTGAAAAAAAGGAGATATACTGAAGTGCTAGCTTATATTAAAAGCAACACATGAAACAATACGGTGTGCACATTTAGGGGGGTTGTTTCCACAAGTAAAACACATGGTACAGCTCAGCCAGGTTAGTTTATCGTACAGACCATAGCAACTGAAGATGTCATTACCTCAAACCAGTTATTTAGAACCTTTGAAGCTGGGGACAAAAGAAGGTCCATAAAATCCCTGTCGTCCAACAGGACAGTGCATTGCAAGAATAAGTTGAGTTACTATAGCTCCCAAGTTTAAGGTTATAAAATCAGCAAATAAGATTAGTCTGAAGTCTGTACGATATATAAAAAAGTACATACTACTTTTGTATAGAAAGAATATTGCATTCTTACACCATCTCTTTTTGCCCAAGGGAGACTGCACGTTGAAGGCAGGCCGACCAAAAAGTTGACTTGTACAACTTATTTTTCATCTTGTCACCAAAAGACGAGGCGCCTCCTATATTTTCAGGAGTCGGGGAATCCAGAATTGGATCCAAAAATTTACAGAAACTTTCAAGCTGACTCTCATATCTACATGTGTGCATCAAAATAGTTCAAGATAAACACATCAACATCAATTTAAAAATGGTATATCTTAACGGAAAAATGATTGCAACTTTGCAAGTGCAGGTGCACAAGCATGAGTTCTTATACCTCATCTTGATACTAGCAAACTTCTTCTTATAAACGTTTCAGTTGAATGCAATTACACAAAATATCCAATATGCTACAATATAATAAGTCAAGCATAATATCTCAAGTCAAAAACATACATACTTGTAATTGTTAGATTTGTCACCATCATTCATCACTTAATGTCATAATTGTCATTCATGCATACACCATCTTATAAGTTATAACAGCCATATTAGATAATTATAACTAAATCAAAACCACAAAAAACAAAACCTAGCATTTTGAAACACATTGAAGCTAAAAAGGAGAGGCATGTTTTATCAACCTCATCCAAATTACCTTTCCAAACCATTTCCAATTTAGATGCACAAATTTTCACATACAAAATACTTGTATATATATATGTTGCAAGTTGCAACACATGACTTGAAGGCCATGAAGCACAATTTTGTAAATGTTTATATTTAAACCAATTGTTTCACAATTCAAGCTACAAATGATCATGCATAAACATATCACTATGTCCTGAACATTTTCAAATTCAACCTAAATATGATCATAAAAAAAATTATCTCAATCTTTTGAACTAATTCAAGCAACTAATGATCATATAACAATATATCCAAATATCTCAAACAAATTTCACAATTGCAATTACTTCATACCAAAAAAACAACAAAAATTCTTGCAAAAACCTAGAAAATTAGGATACCTAGGATAAGCATCAGCGTCATTTAAGGAGAACTTAGAGATTTCGGAACGATTAAGCTCTTTATCTGGCCCTAACAAAAGATATCTCCCATCCAAACAAGGCGTAAACGACGACGCCGGAACTCTCTTCAGCATCTTCATTCCATGCCTTTCCAATTCCAATTCCCTATCAGTCAATCATTTTCATCACATGATACAATCATCATCAACATCAACAATTCAACATTCATTCATTCATCTCCTGAATTTATGATTGAAGATATAAAATTATAATTTAGGAGCGAGAAAATAAATTTAGAGAGACAAAGTACTTGATAATGGAAGGACGAAGAAGACTCTGGAGGTAACTGCACCGCGAAAATTTAAACCCAGGGATCAACTCTTCGGTAACAGCAGCGCCGCCGAGGACATGGCGGCGCTCAAGGACGGCGACGGATAGGCCACCGCGAGCTAAGTACGCCGCCGCCGTTAAGCCGTTGTGGCCGCCGCCGATAATTACGGCGTCCCATTTTTTGGCTTTTAGCGCGCTTATCGCAGTTGCGCTACTGCTGAATTGTCTTCGCCACATTTGAGGAGTAAGTAAGCGAGAGAGAGAGTAATAAGAGAGAGAAATTGTGAAAGAGAGTGTTTAATGGAGTTTGAAAGCGACTTCAATGGACCCTCAATGACAGTCTTCACTCTTAGGTTGTGGACTTGTGGATTACGGAGTATTGATAAACCAATCATGTATTTTGCGACAGGAATCAAGTACTCCGTATTTACAATTGTGTACTGTATTTAAATACTCGTATTACGACTAAGGGCATGTTCTCTTCCGTTGAAATTCAATTCAGTTCAGCTCTTAATTTATGTCTAATGATATTGATAATGATATAAAGCCAAATTTCATTCTTTTAAGCTCTTATTACAACGACGGCGACAACAACAACAATACTAATAATAATAATAATAATAACAACAACAACAACATTGGGGCTCGTACTGCAGCTCACATATTCACTAGGGTAGACTTTTCTATAGTTAGAGGAGTGGAGGCCCAGATTGTATCTCGACTTCCCACTAATTTATTGTAGGTCATATGACTTTTGTTTTTGAGATAATAATAATAATAATAATAATAATAATAATAATCAATAAGTAATAAATAATAATTGTTTCAAAAATAATAATAATAATTGTTTCAAAAATAATAATAATAATAATAATAATAATAATAATAATAATAATCAATCAATAATAATAATAATAATAACAATAATAATTGAAATAATAATACTACTAATAATAATCAATAAATAATTATAATAATAATCATCAATAAATAATAATAATAATAATAATAATAATCAATAAATAATAATAATAATAATAATAATCAATATGTGTTTAAAATGTTTAGAGGTTTCAAGTTTTTAATATATTTTCCATAAATTTTATAATTATATAGTATATTTTTCGTAAATATTTTAATATGTACATTTGTATATACACATATGTATAGTAATAAATAATCAAAGATCACTAATCCATAGTTAAAAATCACTAATTAATAAGTTCAGTTCAGTTCAGCTGAGTTCAGTCAATCGGAACAGGCCCTAAGTTGTAACCTCTAACCTTGCCTATAAACAGCTTAACCAAGCTAAGGTTGGTCTAGTGGAAAAAATTGCACATCCAATCTTAAGGTAGGATCCCACTAGAAACACTTTGAATTTGAGGGTAGATATTCCTTATCCTTTCCCCTCACTCTTTAAGTGTCTAACTCGCAAATATCTCCAAAAAAAAACACACACACACATACTTTTTACCCTTTATCCCCCAAATTTCCTGTCATTTCAAACTCCCTTTTTTGGGGTAAAAGGGGAAAAAACGTGTGGGCCTTTTTTAAAAAGTCATGTGACTCCCACGTGAGAGTCCACGTCAGAACTCCGTCGTTGACCATCCGGAAAACTTAGCCTAGCACCCCTCACAACATAATACAACTTAAAAGATCCTTTTTTCAAAGGTCATTTTAAACTAAGTAGACTACTTAAAAATTCCTATTACACAGATTTTCCATTTTATAATTACTACAGATACTAACAAAATGTATGTGCATACACAACAAAATGTGTAAACTATCACGTCACTCAACATGACAACCACCATGTAACACTATAAGATAGTTGAAGAGAACAGAGCCTTTGAGGTACAAAAACAGCTACATAGTACATACAAAGATTGTAAACGTTGCACATCATTACATAATTTGCATACAAAAACAAACCAAAACTCTTGTATACCGGGTAATAGAAATTTGGGGCTGTATGAGAGGAGGATCACACTCAAACTGATGCTAAGGGTATCTGCTTCGTGTTACCTCCCTGATATTCATGTTTAGCAAAATTGTGTAGTCCTTAGAATCACATTCAACCAATGGCACTGATGCACTAGCGAAGATTAAGTTGAGCTGATGCACTCGAGAAGATTAAGTTGAAGTCATGTGAAGTACTCCGTACAGAATCAGAAGACCATACATCAAAATAAGAGCAGATGATTAAATAATCTTGACTTCGACAAACTATAAATTTGTGTCAGCAAAAGAACAATGAAGCAAAGACTGGCATCAGTCAAGCACATAGATCCTAGAGGCAATATCCTGAACCAGCCAATCAAATCCCTCAAGTAGCCCCTCTCCAGTGTATGCACTGCAACCCACAATTTTCCAGTGTCGTGTCTTATCCATGGCATCCAAGTTGAGCACCTAACCAAAGGAAAGGCTTCATTTTATTACTTGTAAAAAGATAATATGCAACCATCACATTTAAAATACAAGTAAAGAGAGAGCATATCATCCATAAGCCCAGAGTTCTAAAATTCCGCAAGTGTAGATCAATGGTAAGGAAAAAAGGAGGCAATACATAATCAAGAAACTACAACAGAGAGAAAAAAATTCCTTGAATTACAGCACAACGCTATTCTTTTTCTGCTCTTTTTCCAATTGTATTCATTATTGGAGGAGGAGCGGAAGAGAGGGGGTGTTGGAGTGTGGAAGAGTGAAGGAACCTTACTTTTGCAACTTCATCAGGTGAAAGCGCACCTTGTATATCCTGCTTATTTGCAAATACCAACAAAGATGCTCCAGATAGCCTCTGCAGAATAGCACACAGTTAGATCCTGCAGACCTAGAAGCCACAAATACCCATGTGTTTTAGGGGAAGGGAGAGTGACAAGCACGATCGCCAAAAAGTTAAACTTAATCAGATGATCACGTCAGCCAGCATAAAAGATGAGCATAGTAAAATACAAGTTTAAACGAGGCATTAATACTTCACCACTGATTAAATTCTTGGGTTCTAGTGGCTACTAGAAATCTACACTTAAATTGGATTGAGAAAATTGGAAGTAAAGGAAGAGAAGAGAAAAGAAGGGATCCATCCTCCCTTGTTTGGAGACTATTTTATAGGAGGGATGTGAAGGGAAACGGAAGAAGTCATTTTCCTTCCCTCTATTATAAACTAATCCTTCCAATGTTGGAAAGATTTGGGGGGAAAATGTAACCTACGTTCTCCCTTCCCTTCCCTTCCTTTCCTCCCCCTTCCTTCTTCTTCCCTCCCTTCCCTTTCCCTTTCCCTTCTACTTTGCTATCCAAGGATTCCAAACAAGCTGCTAAGGGGCTATGCAGAGGCAACATGGCCACAACAACTGGACAACCCAATATCAAAATTTACCACCCTCACTTTAAGGGGTAACTCATATCACCAACTCACTTTGACTCCAAAATAAAATGATGGCAGAACTTCAAAGCATGTTGTAATGCTGCTTTACTGCAACATTAGTTTCACCAAAATTGTGTCAAACTAGTTTGTATTTTACTTCATAAATGTGATCACAAAACAACAGTGATCAAAGATGCACAAAACTGCTTCACAAAGTGATCATAGATATACAAAACTACTGCAAAAACATTTCATAGGGCGAAAGCATTTTGAGTGTGCAGCTCTAGCAGTCCAGCCATTTTTAAATTACAGAACTAATAAAACATTGACAGGATTACAGAAACATGTTTAAAAGTATAACTAGTAAAAGCACCATACATAGAAGCTACTTCTAGTGGTTCAAAATTGAAAAGACATCAAATTCTCAAATAAGGTTCCTACTTGGGGACTTGGGGTAGCCTCACCCATACACAGCAAGAGAAACGCTGTGGTAGGCCCTTCATATGCTAGAGTGACTACTAGTTTAAAAAACATACCCAGAATTCCAGAAAGACATTAATTGAGATATTTTACATTTTATGTCATTCAAATTTTACAAACTCCCGTGAAAGGCTCTTTCAACTGTGTCAAAAAATGCTTGCAAAGTTGCATACACAATAAAGAAGTGGGATTAATAAAGATAAGAAATACCTCTTCTTTCAGTAAATTATGCAGCTCATTCCTGCAATCATCCAATCGTCTAAGATCCGAACTATCAACTACCCAAATCAAACCATCCGTCTGCTCAAAATAGTTCCTCCAATAGGCCCTTATCGTTTTCTGGCCACCCACATCCCATATATTAAGTGTATACCTGCAATAATGTATCAAAAAGATTTCAATCTCATCTCCCACAAAACTCAACATACAATAGCAGACTAAAGTCCCAGCTATCAAACAAGGATCGCTAAGAATTCGGATCAGAGAGACTAACAGGGCTACTTATTGAAGATCTCAAACCTTTTTATTCTAATTCAAACTGCTTAGGTCTAACAACTACAATCAGGCATAAAAGGGTGTGAAATTCACTACTATAGAATCAAACACCATTAACATAAGTTAAACAATGAATATGCCCATTTACAGAAACATCATATATAAGTAAATCAAAATTGCAAAAATTAAGACAGAAAACCTAAACCATTGGAATCCAATTTTTATGAATTAAAAAAAAATGCAAAAAATTTAAAAATAAATTCAAAAATAAGGAAACGGAAAATACTTTTGGTAAGAAATGGTCTTGATATTGAAACCAAGTGTAGGACTGATGACGCTAGTGTCTTCGCCATTGATTTTGAGAACAATGGTAGTTTTTCCAGAATTATCGAGCCCCCTGAAAAATCAATATGCCTAAATTTGAAATTGCAATAAAATTAAAGTACGGTAAAAAGGAAATGGAAAGAGAGAGAAAGCATACACCATGAGAATTCGCATCTCTTTCTCTTTCCTCTTGATTTTGCGAATGATACTCAGAAGCCCCATTTCTTCTGCGTTTGCTTTCTACTTACTGCTGCTTATGGAATTTTTGTCAATTTTATGTATTGTTTGAATTAATCGATCGATCTGAAAAATATTAAAAAAAAAAAAAAAAAATGAGTTTGGAGGAAAATTTAGAAATTTCGGGTTGTTCTCTATCTCCTTACTTGGAGTCTGGTATTCTGGTGTCTGCAATAATTCTGCAATTTTTATACGGAGTAAACGATTTCATTTCTTATTTTATGGAAACCGTATGATTGTCTCGTACTCTCGTGTCATATCAAGTGTTCTGATATCATACCAATACGTCACATTTTCGAGTTTACTCGATATACTACCTCCGTTACACATAAAGCAGAGAGGAAAAATGTCTAATCGTTGCACATAACTTGTAACGGAGGTAGTATGTATGTCAATGGTCCGAATGGTAAATGAAGATCAATCGGATCATAAATTTATCACGTAGGAAATTGTTCTGCCTCTTAAAGTTTTAGACTCATAATCTACTTGGGTTAACATATTAAAAAATGATAAAAATTTAATATTGTGATGCACTTTGCAATGGCATAAAAAAAAATGAATTTCACTTGATAATACACTAAAATTCTCATATTATATCCCTGGTAATTAGCGTCACATCAGAACTAAGCAAGAAGTACAACTGAGCAAGGCTGCAAATCATTGGCGAGAACATTGTTGGCACAAAATGCTCAGATTATACATATATATATATATATATATATATATATATATATATATATATATATATATATTTTAACTAGAAAAAATTACACTTAATCTCATCAACATTACACTTCACTTGCTCAAGAGCCTAAATACTAGTATAATATTCGTTGAGATGGTACAAAATTGCAAGCCATAACACTAAAGATTTGGCAAAATTGTGTTGTTATAAACCTTTTCTGTATAATCAATATCACAATTGGGCACTCAAGATCAAGAGTATTCCTAATTACAAAGCCTAGGAGCCTTTAGAAGATGGACACTCCTCACAAATCCTTTACCAGCTTCACCAACGGCTTTCAAAATATCAGAATCATCTTTACTATCTTCCTCTCGATCTCGTTTCTGCAATTAGAGATATAACAAATACATCAAAAAAAAAAAAAAAAAACTGAAGACAAACTCGCATAAATTCGCAGCATTAGTGCTAAACTGAAGACACCTTTGATGCAGATTTGTTCCACGTTAAACCAATAGCATCACCACCCAAAGAATCATACCACAGACTGAAAGCGTCTGGAAATTCTCCCTGTCCAGATATTAATTGGTGGTGAGAAACCGCAAAAATAGATCAAATTACAAGTAAAGCAACAAACCAAATTACCTGCAGATCCACAAGGTAACACTGTAGAGGATCAAAATCCACCATTATCTTTGATTTTAGTACATCCATGCCTCCCTTCAAATCCTTGGGCCTAATAACGGGCGAGAAATAATTGCTAGGGTTTCCACGAGCCACGTACTTGCCTATAAATTTGTTGTCATCAGAATTAATAGAGAGCAGATTAAATGACGCATAGATTGGAGCAAATAGCAAAGAATTATGAAAGAAAAGTTGGTAGCATGGTACTAGCCCTATATAATAAAATACTGGATACCTTCTTTAACCTCAGACGGAAAAAGGAGACGTTGTGGATATGCCAATCTGTCTCTGTGCAGAAGAACCACGGCATCATAGTTGTTTAAAGGAGTCCGGAAAAGGCACTGTGATACAACAAAGAGAGTGAATAATTCACATGTATTGAGAAATTATGAATTATTTGTATATTAAAAAAGGAATACATAATAATTCCATTCTCACCTCCCATCCACGAGAATCATATAGATCTTGCTCTACAAGTCTAGTCAAAAGATTAGCACTGCTCCGAGCATAGGCAACCAACCTTTTAAGTTCCTTATACATCAAAACCAACAGCATCAATAAATTGTACGCTGAATTAAGGATCATCATTACAGAGAACTGGAGAATTTATTATTAACTTGTACTTGTAAGAATGGTTTGAATGCAATACTCACCAGGGGTTTTGGTGAAAAGGATGTCCAAGCTTCAGAGGATGTATCATAAGTTGTAGCCAAAAACATTGCAGGACTAACTTCACTAGTACTTCCTTCATGAGCTTTTCTACTTGACATAAAGTTCTCCTGTAAGCAATATAAGGTAACAAATCCATGGTTGTTACAGGTCAAGTAAATTTTGAGATTTGACAAAGCAAATAAACTTCATATTTTCGAACCCGTACCTTGATCTCTGTCGCAATATCAGCAGTCATGTCGCCATTTATATCAACAACCAAAGGAGAGAATTTCCAATCATACTCTGATAACAATCTCAAGAACCTGAAAAGTGAAAAAAAAAAATAAAAAAAATAAGTGTCAAACGAAAGCTTAATAAAGACAGCTGATAGATGATAACAATCTCAAGAACCTGAAAATTGAAAATAAAAAAGTGTCAAACGAAAGCTTAATAAAGACAGCAGATAGAGAAACTGGAAGGGAACTCAATTTTGGTATATAATGAGGTAACATGATAACGAAGAAGATTTACAACTGTTGTGGCACATTATCACAGTGAGAGACTGAAAAACCTTACAATGAATTACAATGCGGTGATACAACCAAGACATTAGATGGAACCTTTTGGCTTCTAGGCTGAAAGTGCACAATACTTCAAATTGAATCCATTTACACAAGCACACTCAAGAATTCATGCATGTTTAGTTGTTCGAGCCACTATATTGTATTTGCCACATAATGCAATCATTGCAATGATATGATCAATCAAATCAATCAAGATGAATCAAGCAGACCTTTGTTCCAACATCATTACTAAAACAGAATTACCAATAGACACCGAGAGGTAATATTTAAGGTAAGGAATTCGTTAATAGGTATGGAAAAAATATAACCTCAAAAAGCCGGTAATCCTTGAGTTAGGAGCATAAAATGGTTTGAAGTTTAGAAATATATGAGCTACCAAGAGCTCAATAGCTTCACTTCCCAAGCAAGCAGAGAAGAGGTGTGAAGCAGCCCATCGTTTTGCAAGCCTTCACAATGAGGTACACATTAGTTTCACTGTAAGATCAAACGAGATATGCAAGAAAGTTATACCTGACTACTGGACCATAAATGGGACACCGCCCTTGTAAACCATTTATCATGCTAGAATGCTGGCTTTGAATAAATAATTTCCTGTCAATTGAAGACACCCGCTTAACTTGATTTCCTACAAACATTATTGCTATCCTTGTTTAGTCAACAGTAAAATCTAGAATCATGAAACCACAAGGCAAAAAGAATCAGCTTATTATCACTCACTCTCTCCTTTCACCAAAGTCAGACCCCTCTCATGTAAAATTTTGAGACGAAAAGCATATCCAGATTGCAATACATCCACATCATCTTCTGTGGCAATGCAGCTAACACCCCACTTATTTTGAAGACTGCCAAAAAGGAAGGTTGACAATCAGTTAAAACATAGAGAATGATAATCCTAATATGATACTCACAACCATTTTTACCTATCTCCAATCTTTAGAAGGAAGGCAGATTTAGTCTTTTCAGTGGCCAATTCATCCATTGGCCAATTTCCTGATCCCTCCAACTAAAAAAAAAAAACATTTAAACAAGATTTTTAAAAAAATCAAGCAAAGAATCACAAATAAAAATTAATAAGTAAATAAATAACAATTCATTGCAAAGCATCATAGCACAGGCAATGGTGAGATAACAAATCGAAGACTAGATTGTAGATAAGCTACCTGAATCAAAACTTTCACCGGCTGTACACAGGTTGCAGCAACCTTCACCGATCTTGAAATGAAGGTTTTATCTCCAGCCAAAGGATGAGGCTCAGGAGGGAAAACAGAAGTGAACCTGAAAGCTGTATTCACACATACAAATTAATAATAAATCACAATTAATGCACAACCAACAGCCAGAACACTTAAAACTCCAAAGAAAAAAGAAAATGCATTAAGTTGAATCATTAGCATATGCGTATGGTTAATGAAGCAATATGCTAGTTGAATTAAGCTGTGGGATAAACCAGAGCCAGTGAAACACAATATTGGCCCAAGGAAACTCCTAGTTCCTCCCAAGTCCTATATTTTTTTAGCATATTAAACCACAGTAACATTTAAAAAAAATAAAAAAAATAAAAAAATTCCTTCGTAAGTAATTCAGAGAGCCATGCAATCATAAGATGCAAAGAAAAACAGCAAAAACAAAACACTTAGAAATTCTATGGTTATTCTCAATATCAGAACGAATCATATAATTAAGTTCTTGGAAAAGCAAACAAGGTCACAGAATGAATTACTCAGGCAGAGTGGGGACTATATAATAAGCCATTTCCCTAATGAGAACAGAATTGACTAGGAAACCATAAACAACATTTGTTTAAAACTCAAAGCTTAAATTTCAGGTTGGCCGAAGGATTCAACGGAAATTGAAACTCTTTCTACTTTAATTTATTAATGTGATATGTATGTGTATAACCAAGTCTCAACAAGATACACAGCATTCATGCCAAAAAGAGACTATAATAAACAGTTATTTATAGCCAAATGGCATAAATCCAAACAAAATAATGTCTAATTCCAACTGAAACCATGTTGAACCCTGAGATGGCAACAACTAAAGGTATTTTGTACAAGAAAGTTCTCATAATTTCATTCCACTACATTAGATACAATGGTTTTTGGGTCACTAAGGAGTAAACACATTAGAACAAGTTCAATCCAATATATTCCATGTTGTATGGTTTGGATTAAATGGATGATCACAAAATTTTGGTCAAAATCCACTATTTTGGGTCAGATTGGTGTTCTGTTGATTCTTTCCAGGTCTTACAAGTTGCAACAGCAATATCAGAACCTTGTTCCAAAAGGCTTGGGATCAGCTAAATAGAGCCATAAAGATCATAGACAAATATATCATCCCCGTGAATCACATAAATCATTCTCCTCCACTCGCCCCTAACCAATGCAATATGACCTAAAGACCCAATTACAGAAAGATTCAGAGTAACAGTATGATCAACAAAACAAAATAGATAGGAAATGTAATTTGATGGCAGAAAATTTTAAGAGAATCAAGAAGAAAAAAAATACAACATTAATTCTGAAGTAAACTGACATCTTTTTAGCAGCCAAAAAGAAAACAGTTAAGACTTTAAGAGTGAGATAAAACCTGAATCTAAGGGTTG